CCCCCACCCCCGCCGACCCCTGACAGGGTAGTGTGGGAGGAAAAAAATCTTCCAGCCATCCTGCTCAGCTGCCTGGTTTCTGGCTGGCCAAGGCGTGGCCAGCAGCCAGGAGGACCTGCTTCCCTGGGGATGTGTCCCTTGATCCTGATAAAGGGAAGGGCCAAAGGCCCCAGAGTACTGACTAAGGGACAGTGGTTGTCCAACCGTGAGGCCCAAGCAGGTGGTGTCCAGCTGTGGCCAAAGACATGCAGCCAGCCATCCTGCTCAGCTGCCTGGTTTCTGGCTGGCCAAGGCGTGGCCAGCAGCCAGGAGGACCTGCTTCCCTGGGGATGTGTCCCTTGATCCTGATAAAGGGAAGGGCCAAAGGCCCCAGAGTACTGACTAAGGGACAGTGGTTGTCCAACCGTGAGGCCCAAGCAGGTGGTGTCCAGCTGTGGCCAAAGACATGCAGACAGGCCTGGGACCTGCCCAGTCCCTGAGGGACCCTCAAGCCCCCAGAAGCTGGGAGCTGGGGTGCAGGGCTCCTGGGTCCAATTAGATGTGACTCAGAAAGTGACCCCCGCTGAGTCACTTCCCCTGGGCAGCTTGCCAGCCTCAGTTTCCTCAGGGAGGGTGGGTGGTTGGGAACAGGGCCTGGTTGGAGAGCAGCCCGCTCCAGACCCTCCAGATGGAAGCTGCTTCCGGCCCTGCCCCGCCCAACCAGAGATACTCAACACCCAGAAACCCTGGGGACCATTTTCCCAGGAAGCCTGGCAATTAAATGCCAGCCCCTCCTAGATTAATAGCACTAGCTAGAACTTATTTAGCACCACCTGCATGCCAGTACTGCATGCCTCATCTCAAAATAACTCTATTCTTTAGTACCCCCACTTCTGAGCTCTGTAAGATTTATGCTCAGAGAGGGTAAGGCACAAGTCCAAGGTCACACAGCCAGGGCAATTACCCCATTCCAGTTCAAGTCTCTACTCCTTGCTAGGCACCATATATCACACAACCACCCCAGAGGGGCCTGTTCTGCAAAAGGTATAACATTGACCCACACGGGACAATTAGCTCCCAGGTGAGATCCTCAGGTCTCTTCATCTAGCCCTCATGCTGGGGAGGGCACCCTTTTCTCCTAAGGGGAGTTGGCACTGGGCCTGGGAGTCAGGAGGGGCCTGCAAGTGCCTCCAGCTTTATCACCAAATCTGTTCCAGGGGTGGACATATATACTTGAGGTGGCCCAGCTGGACCAAACACTCAGAGACACACAACCTGACTCCCACAACCTGGCCACTCAAAGGACCTCACTTGTCTCCTTGTCTGTGAAGGTTGTTTTTCCAAGGAGAACCAGGCCCTGGGTGACCAGGCTTGGGGTGGGGGGGTTGTCTCAGGAAGGAACAGAGGCAGCACTAACATCAACAAACAGGATAACAACAACCCCATCGTCATGACCGCCTGTCCTCCAGATCAAACCATTCCACACACTCTGCTGGCCCTAACAGTAGGTGTCCACTGGGCAATTGAGGAAACTCAGACCAGGAAGGGGCTATTCCCTCATCCTGCCCAGGGTTCTCTGCCCAAAGAATTGGGAAACCCTAGAGTATCAAGTATTCTGGGAAGCTGAGGAAAGTTCCAGAGGCAGGAGCAATAACACAGGACAATGTGCTACCAACCAACCAGTCTGTAATTGAGCCCTTCTCTGTGTCAGGTGCAGGTGCCTTCTGCACACAGGCTGATTAAAACCTGATGGGAAACCGGTTATTACATAACAGAGGGGAAACTGAGGTGGCTTCCAGCTTGGAAGAGGGCAGAGGAAGAATCCAGGTTCAGCCTCCAGAATACTGCTTCTTCCTCTGCCACCCCAAGCCCCTCAAGGCCCCAGACCACAGCTGCTGATGCTTAGGGCCAGCCCCTTCCCAGCTGGCCGACCATGGCCTATAGGGACTGCACAAGTTCCAGGAATGTATTCACCCTTTGGCCCAGAAGGAGTTCTCTCCCAGAGGGGGGCTGTGAGAAAAGGCTTAGAAAGTGTCCAAAAACCCTTAAAACCCTTGCAACTTCCTTCCCAGTGGGCCCTGATGAGTCCCAGCCTGGCTGGCTCACAACCCCCTGTCAGCTTTCCCCTTTAGGGGATGGGTCTGCCACTCCCTAGGACCTTCAGGAGCAGTTTATGCTCTGGCTGCCTGTTGAGTGATGGGAATTCAGACACACTGTGCACCCTGCACCCTGGTCCCTGGGGACACACATGCCCCCCCCCAACCCGAAAGAATGTCAACTGGAGACAAATCCCAGCAAAGCCTGGCAGCTGTCAGGGTTCAAGATATGTTGTTTTCCTAGACCCTCCTGTCCCCAAGGCTGGTGGCCTTGCCAGTGCCTCTGCTCCAAAGCCCCCACCCATGGACCGATTTCACTTCCTCCCGTTCCGCCTGGCCATGCCCCTCTCTGGAGGCCCCCAGCTGCAGCACTGACCTCCTCATCTACATCACTGTGGTCTGGGATTGGGGAAGAGAAACGGGAGAATGAGGAAACTAGAGAAAAAAAGCGGGACAGGCGGACAGGCTCCCCCCGCTGCAGTTCCTCAAATGCAGTCTCCAGGACCCCCGAAAGCTCCAGGGCCGGAGGGAGGGTGGAAAGGGGTTTTCTGCATCCAGGTCCCGGGCCCGGACACACTATGGGCAGTGCTGACCGATGAGCCCCACCCCCGCTTGTGGCACTGAGGAGGAATGGGGACCCCGGGAGGGGACCCCAGCGTGACCAGCTCGCTCCCGGCCTGCTCTGCCCGTGGGCCCGACATGGCAGCACGTGGGCGCGGCGAGGCTGGGGATGTCGCCGCCGGCTGTGCTTACCGCACAGGCAGCGGGTCCGGGCCCGGCCGGCCCATGGCGTCGCGTCCTCACCGCGCCGGCTCCTTGCTCGCGGCTCGGCGCTCAGGCAGGAAACCCGGGCTCGGAAAAAGGCCAGCGCCTCATTTCCGCTGCCAGCGCTTGACAGTGGCGGGAGGATGCGGCTCCGGGCCGCCCCCGGGGAAACTTGGCTGCCACTGCCGTGACCACCGCAGCCCGCGACAGTACGGGCGGGCGGGCGGGCGAGCGGAGGCGGTGGCCCGAGCCCATGCCGCCCCACGCCGTTATATAAAGAGGAACCGGCAGCTAGCGGCCGCGGGCGGAGGGGAGGGTGACGGAGGGGCGGAGCCAAGCCGAATCCCGCCCACTCACTCCGAGCCGGCCGTCGCAGGGCCACGCCCACCCCACGCCTTGCGAGGGCGGAGCCACATAGAACCCCGCCCTCTCAAGCCCTCCGCCCGCCTTCCTCCAGGGGAGGGAATCTCTCCAGGCACTGCCTTCCGCTCCGCCGCCGAAGGCGCCGATCGGGGGGGAGAGGCGGGGTCTCACGCCCCTGCCCTTGTCTCTGTGCTGCCTATACGAAGGGCCCGCTGGAGGGACGGATCATCTGGCCCCGCCCCCAAGCGCCGGCCAGTCTTCGCGTGCCCCAGTGTGGCGGGGCGGGGTCTGAGGCAGGGCGCGGTCTGAGGCAGGGCGGAGGCTGGGCGGGGCGGGCCCCTGTCTCGCGGGGACCCGCCCCTGCCGACTCCCTCCCACCCGGTCTTATCAGCGCTGG